GCTGTGAGTAAGTTTTCATAGTAACACATGATTACCAGTCAATAACAATAATTGTAATGTAGGCCTTAAGGCCAGAATTACTGAATAAACTGAACTGAACTGAACTGAATGATTACCAGTCAGTGTTGTCATTCTTTCTTTTGTGAAAGTGATTAGCAATGACGTCATGAAGTGAAGAGCTGCCATATCTCACCAGCTTACCTCATAAGCTAATCAAGTCCATGGAGTTCACATCAAGCTGGATGATATGACCATGGTTGAATCTGTACGTGTAAAACTAGAATCCAATATGGCCGCCAAAACCACGTGAATTTTGACATATGACTAAGAACAGAAAATGTACAGCAACAACAGACAACATCTAAACCAGCTTGTTCAAGACTTTATCCTGGTAAGTTTGCTTTTGAAAAACCTGTGAAGAAGTATTTGAAAGTTTTTGAAGAGAACTTTGGCCCAGAAGTAGCACTCAATATGGCGGCCATCAAAGGCACATCCAAGGGGTCAACAGCATGAACATCCATCTACCAGTAGGGATACAATGACGTGTCAACCCAGTCAGCGAGCCTGATCACCCGATCCCGTTAGTCATTCCTGCAATATCACGGCGGAGGACAACAAAGTCAGAAACAAAAGTATTAATATAGTTGCAGCCAACGATGAGGGCTCCTTGGCTTTAGTTCTATCTATTGTATCTGAGGGCTAGAAATCATCGTCCAAAACGGAGCCAGAACACGTTTTTGACAGGCGAGCGGATCTTCCAAATACAGCCGAAGTCGCGGGGGTCATGTACCTTTTAAGAAGTTCTGGAAAAGAAATAGTTCCCTCTTTAAAAGGCTGTATCTCAGTTGTTCTTAGGTCTACGGTCAAAACAATTAGTGTCCTGGAATCACCAAGCCTTCATCTACCATACTTTTTGTGCAGAATTTGCACATTTTGGGAGCAAACTACTCAGAAAACTGCTGAAAAACATGGCCAAAAACTAAAAACAAATATAACTTGACTTGACCTGTCCAAGCAAACTTGTTGGAAATTCGATTGTGCATCTGTACAAGAGATTTGGAAGTGTTGGAACAATTAGTTCTTGAGATATTTACTGTCATATGTTGAAATTTTGGAATTAATTTTGAATTATCTCCCCTTTGCTATTGGGCCTAGAGCCTAGAGATTTTTAAGGGGAATATTTACACCTTGGTGCGCATCTGTGTGATTTTTTGTAAGCGATTCGGAGCATTGGTTTAGGAGTTATGTTTGGTACAAAAATCGGCGGAATAATAAATAATAATAATAATAAGAAGAAAATATCAATATGAAATGTCAACACTGTAATGAATTCACAGAGACTGTCCAAAACCTTGTCAGTGGATGCCCTTCTTTGGCACAAACAGCATATCTTAAACGACATGATGGCATGGCTCGTTGCTTTTACTACCGTCTCCGCCATGTCTGTGGCTTTGACTCCGAGGTCCATCCATGGTACGACCCTGAACATGTCCAGGGTGTCATGGAAAATGATGCATTCAAACTTCTGTGGAATAGGCCCATATATACAGCCTCAGAAGAATTCCTGCCAACAAACCTGATCTTGTTCTTTTTGATAAAGCCAATGAATTTATTTATATATTTGAATTTTCTGTCCCTTTTGACAACAATGTGATTGGCAAGATTCAGGAACAGCATGATAAATATGCAGACCTCGCCTTTGAAATGTGTCGCTTGCATCCCAAGTAAACTGTCGTCAGGCTCCCCATTGTTCTCGGTGCCCTTTGTTTGGTACCTCCTGATCTCTTGGCGCAGATCAGGAGAGTGCCCGGGTTCTCCACCGGGAGCACAGCCCTTCTGACACTGTGGGTAATGCAGAAGGCTGCAGTGTTGGGGAGCCTTCATATTCTCCGGAAAGTTCTTGGTGGGTTCGACAAGGCAGTGTTTCCTGGGAGAAGTCCCATTCACTGTCTGGGCTGCGTGTAGAGGGGGCGAGGGCCCTGAGCTGATGATGAGCCTTACTAGCCTGACTGTGCCAGGACCACCCGAACCCTCTCTGCTGCATACTATCTTTAATCTGTGATCATTAGCATTATGAGTGAATGCTTTAACCACTAGGCTACCCCACCCCCACCCCACCCCCATCACATGTAAAGCACATCCTTTGTTTCCACATCTAATTTATTCTCATGATTTCATTTGGACACTTTATACTCACAGATGACAAAGATCATTTGTCATTAGATTTTTAGATTTATGAGGAATTCAGGGACATATCACAGCTAACCATACATGTTGTAATAGGTGTTTCATAACAATATGTGAAATATGATTTCTAAAGACTGTCTTTTAAACATAAATTTCTGGGCATCAACCCATTCATCAAACAACTCATTAACACCAATTTAAGCCCCAAACTACAAATGATTGCTTCCAAAACCCCACTTTTAACCCCAATAATACCACGTTAACGTTAAAAAATATTTTTTGCTGTTTTGTATCCAAGAACAGTCACCCACTTTCTGACACGAGCAGGCTAGATGGACACATTTGCAATCTACGACTTAATATTGAATATGTGATAGGACTTGTTGATAATAAACTTAAACTTTACAAGGCGTTGTGGTTAATAAAATCGTCATCAAACAAATTTTGAAACTGTTTAATTGCGTTGTTTTTCATACCATTTTCTACAGTACTATATTGTGGTTCGAATGTGATTCCATTAAGCTTGAGCAGTTTGGTTTCATCCGCACATTAATACAGATCAGCTGATTTAGTTGTAAACACTTACATATTTAAAGATGTGGTTTTGAGTTCTCAAATACTGGTTTCTTGGTTTAATTGCAGAATGGGTAATAAATAGAATAACCCACAAGGTAAAGCTTGAGACAGTGAACATTAATTTCATTCGGGACATATTTCCCGTAATCACTTGTACCTCGTGGGTTATTCTCTAACTATTCCCCGAAAATTTCAATTTTTCAACTTTTTATCCCCCAAAATAGGACTAAGCATCATGTTTCATGGGAGGACTTTTGAGTACTCATTAGTTATAACTTACACATGCTGATAACCTCAAATCATTTCTGTTCTGATTCTTTTTAGGTTTTGTCACATGTTTTTACTGGACATTTATTAAATTTGTATGAATTTTTAATTTAGAAGTTTGCAAAAAGTGGTAGGTTGTTATTTTTTATTGCTTGGAGCCTGCTGATTGAGTTTTGTTGTGCTTGTTTGACAAGCAGGTCATTGAGTGGTGCTACTATGCCAATCAGTTCTGATGTGAAAATTTATTGGTTGTCTGTACTTGTCTCAAAACTTGTGTTGTGTGGATGCCTGAATAGGAACAATTACATATATTGTTAGTAATTGTTAGTAAAATTACCTCCTTATTCCTGTGGTTTCCACAGACACATACAGAAAATGAAATGAACATTTTAAGACTAAGTCATAGCTATCCCTAGTGGTATGCCCTTCTACTAACAGAGTTTTAAACACACACACACACACACACACACACACACACACACACACACATTGCATTGCTGTTTGAAAATCCTCACAATTGTTCTAAAGAAAAAATGTCTTCTAGAGGAAAAGACGGGGAGGTAGGGTGGGACATATACCCCATAATCCAGAGGTAAGTTTACTAACAATTACTAATAATATATGTAATTGTTCCTACTTATGGCATAAACATTCCCTCTGGATTATGGTTGCCTGAATCCCTCATAAGGATGGAGGGCTATCCCTGGAAGAATAATCCATTTATATAACACTAGTAAATACTAATAAAACATCATAATCCTCTTAGGATAACTATGACTTAGTAGTGTATAAAATACTGGTGAATCATAGGATTGGTTAATTAGGGACCGTTCATAATTTTAAGGGGGGGGGGTCACCCATTTTGTTCTGGGGAGGTAGCGGCGGTCATCAATTTTGTACATAAAAATATTTAAAATTATGCTTAAAAAATATTGGAAGGGAGAGGGGGGGTCATTGATTTTGTACATGACATGCAGGGGGGTCACTTACTTTGTACATAAACTTTAGGGGAGTCATTCACATTGTACATGCTTCTCCATAAAAATCATCATCACCCCCCACCCCCACCATAAATTATGAACGGTCCCTTATGTGAGGGAAGATAACTTCCATGTATATAAACGAGTAGTCTCTATCTCATCCACAAGTTATAGAATACTATCCTATAAATCTCATAACCTTGTAATATTAATTTCCAAAACTTGTGATGCCACTTCTGGTCTTATCACGTCACTTCCGGTCTTCTGACGTCATTTCCCGTTCTATGAGGTCACTCCCAGTTTGTTACCGTCATTCGGGTTTTATAACGTCATTCCTTTGATGTCACTTCCGGTCTTATGATGTCATTCTCAGTCTATGACGTCACTTTTTGACTATGACGTCACATGCGGTTAGTATGACATCACTTCCCATCTTATTATGTCACTTCCAGTCTATTACCAAGAAACCTTAAGATGAAGATAGAGAAAACTCCCTCTAATACTGAACCATTTCTCAGTTAGTATTTATAATAGAGATATACATAATCGTTACCTGCCTGGTAAAAAACTCTGTATCTCTATCTTCCCTCCATAGTCTGGGGAATCCAAGTAGTTCTCGTGCTTAACACGTGATCCAATCCCTGATTCATGATAACTACGTCAATTGCATGTAGTTCTGATACTCTTGATGCAGTAGCAAACGCCATCAGGAAGGCCGTCTTGAGACTAAAAAAAGACCTCTGTGAAGTCCAAACATAAATCCCACTTGGGGAATATCATCAGAGATGTAATGTCCTTGATCTGAAACGATCTAATAAGTTTGTGCAAGGAATGATTTCATCCCACTGATAGTCCTTGTAAGTCCAATACCGCAGCAATCGCTTATCTGTAACCTTCAATAGTGTTATGTTTCAGCTTCTCAACTGTCCTTAAGTAAAGAAGAAAATCTGCTATAATAGGTATGGTGACTGGGGTTGGGGTAGGTGTCATTCTCTTCTCCACTGGACGAAGACATTCCACTTGGCATTATAAAGAGCTGTGTTGAAGGTCTGATAGATTCAGAGATAGCCACAGTTGCTTGTTCATTTAACCCTTGTTCCTTGAGGGAACTGCAGATAGTCTCCACACGTAAAGTGCTAGTAGTCTTCTCGTCATTCTCGTGAAATCTGTTGGACTGACTGAGACTGGACTGGACTGACTGAGAAGATTGTTCCAACAAGGAAGTTGTAGGGGTTTGTCTGTCATTAGCTTGAGAAGATCTGAGAACCACGCCCTGGTCGACCATGCTGGAGCTACCAGATAGACTACGCAGTAGTGCTGTGCAATCTTGGCTAGCACTTCCGGTATCAGCTTGAACGGAGGAAAGGCATAGGCTATGAGATTTTCCCATGATATTGACAGGGCGTCCACCGCCCAAGCTGCATTATCCAGAACAGGACTCACATAGGTTGGTAAATGGTTGTTCCTTGAAGCCGCAAAGAGACCTATGGATGGTGCTTCCCAATTGTCCGTTATGAGCTCGAAAACCTCCATGTTCAGACTCCATTCTGTTGACACTACTCTGTCCTGCCTGGAGAGGGAGTCGGCTAAAATATTCCCCTTGCCTGGAATATGATGTGCTCTGATAAGGCTCTTCATAGTGCCTTCCGCTCTGAATATATCCTGAGTGATGTGAAGTAGTCAATGTGACTTTGTTCCGCCTTGTTTGTTTATATAGGCTACTACGGTACTGTTGTCCGTCACTAACATAACACTTTTCCGATGTAGGCTCCAGGGCCAATGGGAAAGGGCTTTCAACAGTGCCAACATCTCGGATTGATGATCACTGTAAATAGCCAGGGAGCTAGAGATATCCCGAACGGCAGAACTTGAAACTGGAACCTTCGGCCGTTTACAGCAAAACGAAGACACTTCTGAGAACGAGGATGTATAGGTACGTGGCAATAAGCGTCCTTCAGGTCTATACTGATGAACTTAGAGTCCTGTTGAATAAGAGTTCTCAAGTTGGCCAAGGGTTCCATCTTGAACTTGGGTGGTTTCCTTAAATAATTCTTGTTCAGTACTCTTAAGTCTATAATCATCCTCATCTCGTCTGTGTCCTTCTTGGGCATGAGAAAGACTGGGGAGTAGAACCCGCAGGACTTGTCCGCTGAAAGAATTTCTACTATGGCTCGCTTGTCTAAAAGTTGTTGAATGGCAATCAGTGCTCCCTCTAAACGATCTCCTTGCAGAAAAAATCGACTCCCAACCGACTGATAAGTTACTGGAGGTAGATTGTCCCACGGCAGAATGTATCCTCTCTCCACTATTGATAATATCCAAATGTCTGACGTGACTTGTCTCCTGTTGTCTACATAAAGAGCAATCAACCCCCAACGGGAGACTGCGTCACTGGTTGAATGAAACTGAAATCTGTTTCCAAGTTGAGACACATTTCCAAATTGTAAGGCTGAGTAAACTGGATTGTTTGATCTGAGTCAATATTTCCTGATTCCCGCTCTGGATCCACGAAAAGCCCTGGTGCCTCTACCCCTGCCTCTAGTGGAAGGGAATCCCTGAGTAGCTAACACAGAAGACGGAGTGCATGGCCTTGAGTCTGCAGCCCTATCAAATGCTGAACGTCGTAGAGGTTTCTGACGACTGTAAGTAGATGTCCGGGGGCATAAATGGCCGTATCCCTCCTAGGTCTGGACTGCAGCCTGCTTCTGTTTTGAGATAATAAGGCTGAAGCTAGACTCTGGTTCAGGTTATGTGATGTAAGCACATCCTTGGCCTGTATAGCCTAATTTCATTGTCCATGGAACAGAGACTCCGAATCCAGGGGCTGTTGAAAGAGTAAATCCTTAGCCATCTCTGGATGACTTCTGATAGTGTTTAACCTATGTGCTCTCTCCAGACTGTGGAGGAACCGTGCTTGGATAGAGTCCATGGATCAATTCCACCTTCTCCCTAAGTGACCATCCGGGCACAAAGTCTTCGGCCGAAGTATATCTATAGGCTGGACTGTCAGTAAACCCTCCTTCATTATAAAGTCCGGCTGAGAAAAAGGATAAATGGAGGTGCCTTCTGAGTCCGGTAATAGAACTGCCTATGGTATCCACATATACTCAGCTTCCACAAACCAATCTATCTCGGTCCGCCTCCCTAACGGACAGTCAGTCTACACAGCGGAGCTAGAAGCCATACACCATGCACTAAGTTACAGTCTAAACCTTAGAGAGAAAAGAGTGGTTATCCTCTCTGACTCTCTCAGTGCACTGCAGTCACTGGCAACTAAGCATTCAAGCAGTAGACCTGACACCATCTGGGACATTTTGGTTCTCATTCAGACACTAAGAAGGGAAAATGAGAAAGAGATCACGCTGTGCTGGATACCATCTCACATAGATATCCCCGGAAATGAGAGAGCTGACAAATTAGCTAGACAAGCGCTAGAATTGGACGTGTCACTGGACCATCCCTACTCAAAAAGCGAAATTCGTAGCATGATCCAAGGTTCAATTACTAGCAAGTGGCAGAGGCAATTGGACATCTCAGAAAAAGGCAGATGGTATCATGGACTCCGCCCCAGTGTGAAAGGGAAGCGGACCACTCCCTCACAAAACAGGCATGTCGACATCATGGTCACCCGCCTTAGGCTAGGCATTCCAAAACCTCTTACAAAAACTGTCCAACATGCCACACCAAAGCTACTGTCCGTTTTGACACAACCAGGCAAACACTCAGAGAAGAAACAGGGCTAGGTACATTGACAGCCACGGAGCATCATGCAATGTACAGGCCTCTAGCCAACTTACTTCTGAAAAGTGAACTATGTCAGTATATCTAAAAGAAATTATATCAATCAGCCAGTCTTCAGTTTGCCCGAGGGGGGCCAGGGAGACTATATCACCCAAGCTCCCGACCTCACAGTACCAGCCCAGCCGCTCAGGGAGTCAATAACACCCAAGCTCCCACGCCACGCCACATTGGTTGCTCGGCAATCACCGGGGTCATTGCACACAGACCCCAAGGACCAAATGAAAATGCCTGGTCCGCCCAACCATCATGCGTCCCAACGAGGGTCAAATCCATGCTTCCCAAAGAGGGAAAATGAGAAGCAGCAAGTGGCTGTGTCCACTCCGTAGGGTGAGAGCAGGGTCAGTACAGGGGAATGGCCGAGTCCACTCCCCAGGGGAAGAGCAGGGGGGTGGCCGTGTCCACTCCCCAGGGTGAAAGCAGGAGGGGTGGCCGTGTCAACTCCCTAGGGTGAAAGCGGGGGGTGGGCGTGTCCACTCCCCAGGATGAAAGCAGGGGTGGTGGCCGTGTCCACTCCCCAGGGTGAAAGCAGGGGGATGGCCGTGTCCACTCCCCAGGATAGAAAAAAAATAAAAAATAAATAAAATACGTATATATACCTAGGCAAATGTATATATACGCCCATGCATCACAAAGAGGGACAACCATGCGACCCAATGAGGGTCAACAAAAGGAGGGACAACAAGTCCAGCCTCAGGCATCCCAAGGAGGGATAACCAAGATCCAGCCCCATGCGTCCCAAGGAGGGACACCCAAGCACAGCCCATGCGTCCCAAGGAAGGACACTCCGTTCCAGCCCCAAGCATCCCAAGGAGGGACACCCAGATGCAGCCCATATGTCCCAAAGAGGGACACTCCAATGCAGCCCCACGTGTCCCAAGGAGGGACACCCCTACCCGGCCCAAGCGTCCCAAGGAGAGACACCCAGATGCAACCCATGCGTCCCAAGGAGGGACACCCAGATGCAGCCCATGCGTCCCTAGGAGGGACACTCCAATGCAGCCCCACGCGTCCCAAGGAGGGACACCCCTATCCGGCCCAAGCGTCCCAAGGAGGGACACCCAGATGCAGCCAATGTGTCCCAAGGAGGGACACCCCAACGCAGCCCCACCTGTCCCAAGGAGGGACACCCTTATCCGGCCCAAGCATCCCAAAGAGGGACACCACAACCCCCCCACAAATCCCAAGGAGGGACACCCCACGCATCCCAAGGCGGGATAGGTCTGCCGAAATGCCAGCAGGCGAAGGCGACCTCCAAAGCATATAACTGAAGAAGAACTAAGGAAGAGTCCGGTAAAACCGGTACCAGGGGTAATATCAGTGGCTTGCCCGTGTCAAAATGATCCGAGGGTCCTATGGGTATACTGCTTGGCACACGGCTAGTAGATGGCTGGTCCCTATCGCCGCTAATCCCCATGTAGGCCGTGGCTAGTTGATTAGTGGCTGGCTGGGAGACACAAGCCGAGGACAAGGAGTCAGTCCAGTTTTTTAGCCTCGTTTTTCAATTCCATATCCCTCATTGACTGGATACCTGAGTCTTGTAGCTCCGTTTTAAAGGATGAAAATAGTTTTGAAATAGCAGCCTTATTCATGTGGGAAGAGTCTGATTTCCATCTAGATCTAGATCTTGTTTTAGGCTCCGATCTCTGCGACGATGAAGGAGAACCAGGAGTAGATTTCTTAGATTTACTAGCCTCCGACGAAGGGGAACTTTTGCGTTTCTTAATTTGAGACCTGGCTGCGTCCATATTAACCCACTCAATTTCTGATACATCAGAACACATAAGACAACGATCTTCAAGGGTGCAGGGCGTCCCCGTAAAAAAGTGCTAAGCAGACGGAGTGAGGGTCTAGATCGGACATGAATTCTGACATTGTACACATTTACTTTTGGCCATGGCTGAAGAAAGAGCAAGGGGTAAACAGGGTGGGAAAATATATATCGCAAAAACATAGACAAGAAAATAATGAATTCAATTGTCACAAGGACCAATGTCAACACCACTAACCAATAAAGGGATGGATCAGTGTTGAAGCAAGTCTGATAGAAGAATTTTCACTTCACTCTCTGAACACATGACGTCACGGTCAGGGGGAGGTAACTCTGTTAGTAGAAGGCATACCACTAGGGATAGCTATGACTTAGTGTTAAAATGTTCATTTCATTTTCTGTATGTGTCTGTGGAAACCACAGGAATAAGGCTACCATAACCCAGAGGGAATATTTACACCATAAATATGTGCATTTTGTACCCAGGTCAAAGGAACCATCTGTGTAAATGTGGCACCAATTTGCCCAGTACTCGAGCATGTAAGGTAGTGTTGTGTTTTTGGTCATGTTTCTGTTTCTATGTTTGTTTGTTTATTTCAGAGGAGAGTTTTGTGTTTATTTTAGGAACTTTTAGTTTAGGTGTGATGAGAACTGGATGGGCTGGTGTTTTGTTTTAGCTTTTTTTCATTGTGTTCGATTATGAGGTTTGTTACATGTTGCATTATTGATGTTAAAAGTGGGGTTTGGAAGCAGTCATTTGGAGTTTGGGACTTAAATTGGTATTAATGAGTTGTTTGATGGAGTTGACGCCCAGAAATTTATGGTTAACTTTTCTCGTCTTAGTTCTAAGGGTATTTCACCTGTTAGTGCTTGTAATGAGATAAGTGAGGTTCCTTGCTGTGTGGGTGTGTTTTAAGGATTTTGTATTGCATTGAATTTAGTTAATTATTTAGTGAGTTGTTTAGAGTGTCGTAGATTATGCAGCAGTAGCCTAACAAAATAGACCTAATTAGTGTGAGTGTATAATGATAACAGCGTATCCTTAGTTACCCCATTATGACTACTCCCAATTTGACTATTCGTCTTATATACACAATCTGTTCCAGTCAAATGTTTTTTAATTACTAGCTCTCTCCTCAGGTTCCACCATAATAATATATATATGTAAAACAATTATAGCTGTACCAGGTTCATACAATATCTATTCAGTTAATAACAAAACTATGTATACTTCAACTGCTCAACATATCAATATGATTACAACAACAGGTATTCATGTCTTCATAACAATAACATGTCTGGTTATTGTTGTGGAAGAGTTCCATTTTCAACAGCAAGAAATTGGAAATTTTAACTATAAATTGTATATTTATATACTTATCCTATCTCACGACTTGCACCTCTCTCTCTTCATTCGACCAAGAGTGGAAACGAATTAAACTTTGCTCCAGGCCTACCTTGTCCCTGTCCCCGTGCTGTGCATGCCTTCCTGCCTTAGCCATGCTCACTAGTCCGTGACAGCATGTGGCATGCGCAGTCCTCACCCACGTGATCACCTTACATACTCATTCTCGATCTTGGAGCCATAAAAGGACAAAACCGGAATGGTGGTAATCTAAGTAGTGGGGAAGTATGGTGGGACTTTATCGTGTGAGATAGGATAAGTATATAAATATACAATTTATAGTTAAAATTTCCAAATTTTTAAACTTATCCTATCTCACGACTTGCACTTATCCCACGGTAATTCATAGATTACCCGAAGTTCAAGTGATAACAGCTAAGCATTATGCCGAAACAACCAGAACTACAAGGCAGGCCAATAACTACCAAAGTTACTACGTGAGAGGGTTAGTTCGAACCCATTGACTTACTAAGCACAAGTGCTCCCAGGGACCGGGATTCCCGAGCAATGTGGTGTTCAGTCACTACCTTCACAAAGTGAAAGGACGCAGCTTAACGAGTGTAATCAGTCGCATCGCCACGATTTCCAAGGTTCCCCCGTAATAAAAGTCTAACGACTAGTATCGGGCCAGCCCCTGCTTCGAAACAACCCCCATAGACACCGTTCCGAGGAGGGTGAAAGGGTAATGGAATCAGAAAAACTCACAATTTTAACGTAGAGTACCACAACATCATCTTATGACTTCCACTACTTACCACAGTAAGGTCACATAGATGTGTATAGGTACTTAGGAGCATGAACGCTACGAAGTGTAACACTTGGGAATGACTCACTTCACTGACGTAATTACTCCGTGGAGCAGAGGACAGTAAATAAGGTGGCAACTCTCCAGAGTCTCAAATTAAATTGAGAGGAGAAATCAAAGTCCCAGAAGAATCGAAGAAATTCAAAACAGAAATAAATTTCAGAACTTTATTCAGATTGTACACAAAGAAGAAACGATAGCAACTGGTGATCATCTGTGCTGAAGCTGATGGTTGTCCCGAGTGGCGAACAGGTCTACATCTGGTCGTGATCACAGGTAGATCTTCGATTGGAATATCAGAGGCAGTTGTTTCCACTCCGTGAGTGAAAGGGCATCAGCAATGACATTCCTCATCCTGGGAATGTGTCGGGCTCTCGCCACTGTGTTGAGTGAATCGATCAGATGATAAATTCGAAAACATCAACTGAAGCAGAGCTGCTGATCCTGTCGACCCTGATGGTTTATGTACAAAATTACCATCGAAATGTCTGATTGAATCAGTACATGAGTGAACCGTAGTTCAACTGCCCAATGCCGAACGGCGAGAATGACAGTGCTGAATTCCAATTCGTTGATATGAAGGGCCCTTTCTCCTGATGACCACTGCCAGGCCACTTGATGGAGAAAGTGAGCGCCCCAGCTTGAAAGATGTGTCGACCAACAGGTGTTGAGTCGGCATGAAGGGCACCATAGAGACTCCAACACAAACATTCCACTTGTTGAGCCATCAACGAAAGACTGAATGTAGTTGTGCGGGAAGACGAATCAACTCCCTGGGGTTGTCGTCCCGGATGTATGGGCACAGAAACATCTGAAGAGGGCGAAGCTACAGCTGGCCCCTGTAAGTCAGTACTTGTGCCAACGTCAACCACCCTAGTAACTTCTGCCACTGGCGAAAAGTTGTGGGTTGGACCAGCACTAGTGGTGCGTTGCACTGAATCTTGTCCCACCTCTCCTGGGGCACAAACATCATGACCTGTCGTGTTGAATATTGTCCCAATAAAAGAAATCACCAGGTCTGTGTTACCTCTGATTTCTCCGAATTCAGCAGCAATCCTAATTGCGCGAGCAACTTGATGATTAACTGCCTGTGGAGAGGAAGGACGACTGGATCCTGCTGGGCTTGAACACAGTCGTCGATATAGTTCTCGAATGTCATGCCTAGACAATGCAGGTAGCTTGTTATCGGATTGGGTATCTGAGTAAAAAGCCACGGGGCCGTACATATGCCAAACAGCAGAACCCTCCACTGGTATCAATGACGCCCCTTGAAAGTAAATCGAAGATACTTCCGATAGTCTGGATGTATCGGGATGTGAAGGTAGGCGTCTCGCAGGTCGAGGGAAATGAGAGGTCTAACAACTCTTGCCTCTGACAAAGAGATCCCCTGAGATAGAACGTTCAATAAGTCGAGTTCTAACGGAGTGCTGAATGTAGTATGTTCAGCGCATGGAGATTGTCAGGCAATCTACAGGAACGTTCACATTGTAAACGAATTGAAGAAATTCGTACGATCGGCGACCTCAGGAGCGTTTCAGTTGGCCGAACAAAATGATGGTTCGCCAGGTAGAGTGAGAAAGGTAGTAGATCGCTGCCTGGTGACAGTCCACACATAACTGCAGTGCCCTCAGAACTCAGTGCTTGAGCTAATGTAGAAAACCGAGTTATCCCTGCAAAAGTAAAACCGTTCACGGGTGTTTCTGTCTGCCACCCTCGATAAGCAGTCTCCCTCGACTGGCTGTCGAAATTCCGACACAATCACTCTTACCGGGAATGGCACCGTTCATTGTTACTAGCATTTAAAGGCTGGACTTGATATCCGATTCGTGGGACCAAGACAAGTCTGCCAGGGCACTTCATAGTCACTCTAATCATCAAAACAGTAGTCATTTGCCATTTGCAAACGTTACACACGAGTGACAAAAAAACAACACGGTCTTCAGTTAACCGGGCGAGTTGCAACCCATAAATTCCAGGCTGAGCTATGCTGGCTATTTGACAAAACATCACTGCTGGTACCATGCGTAAAAACTTGACCCATCTGTTATCTGTCCAGAACTTGCTTATCATGTAAAACAAGGGGGGGGTTGGGTAGTCAAGTGGTTAAAGCGTTGGCTCGTCATGCTGAAGACCCGGGTTCGAATCCCCACATGGGTACAATGAGTGAAGCCCATTTCTGGTTTCCCCCGCCGTGATATTGCTGGAATATTGCTAAAAGCGGCGTAAAACCAAAACTCAGTCAGTCAGTCATGTAAAACAAAGGGAGCTGAAGATGACGAACCATCTGCAATAATTGCACCTAGCGATACACAAACACGGTTACCAGTAGTCTGTAGTAACAAGACTCAGTGAAGCGTCGTAAAGTATACCTGGCTAGCAAGCTTATCTAGTAATGCCCTATCGGGTTGTTGTAGAACTGATATCTACACCGAAGGGTAGATTCGTTGAACCGAATCATTCATCAAAGGTGAAGATCGGATGGTAGATTAAATCTGGAATGAGATGAGCCCCGGTCACAGAGGACTCTTGAGAACTGGGATCGTCAGACCGTCAAGTGCCGAGCGTGATATGCCTAGATGACTGCGCTACTGACATCACATGTAAATTGATTCGGCATGGTGAAGCACATAGTTACTACCTCTGTTCAACCATCCGAAAAGGGGTACAAGGTGGAATAATTTATGTGACTAAAAACGTTAAGCGCCTCACAAGCCGTATGGTAAACCGGATAAACAAATCACTTTGTCCAGCTTAGAGCTTGCCACTTCGTAATGAGGAATTCAGCGCCTCACAGATGCCCTGAAAACTAGGATCGTGTTGAAAACTAGCAGAGTTCGACAAATTTGGCCCTATCTAGATGTAAGTTCACGAACCTAGTTTAGGATGTGGAAAACCAGTGTTGACAAGTCCCGATCCTTCATGTTGAATGAAATAAATAGAACATTTGGTATCTTGCTCTCGGTAGCTGTAGGTGGTTGGCGAACCATGCGATCATGTGTGTCGAATCAACCAAAACCATTCCTGCATCTTATAGGCGACTGGCATAACCCAAACCATGAAAACAAAGATGAGGTCGATGTGGGTTTAGTGTCTTAGGAGGCATCCCAGACACATTTGGCATAGGCTCTGATAGGCTGGTAAGTTGCGCCGTGTTGGAAATAACACGAGTGGTGAATCGCCCAATTCGTGAATAAGCTCAATTGCTGGCAAGGTCCGAGGAACGGATTATTGACGAATGCTGACAGTTCGATGAATGCTGACAATTCAGTGATCTTGAAGGGCCAGGTGAACTGGTTCGGTGATAGGAAGCGGTTCGGCCTGGTGAAACGGTACGAGTCGGGCTGGTAAATCGGTTCAGGGTGGTGCGCCGGAACGTTGATGTGATCTGAATCAGTCTGTGATCTGGATCGGCATTGTGATCTGGATCGTGACTGTGATCTGGATCGGTTCGGTAATCCAAACGTTTAAATGATCTCAGCTGATGGGTAGATCTAGAACGATCAGATGAACCGCCTAGGCAAGGTGAAATGTTCCAGCCGAGGTGAATTGGTTCAACGAGGTGAATCATTTCGGTGAAGAGAGCCGTTTCGGTGTTGTGAATTGAATCGATGATGTGAACCGTTTCGGCGATAAGAAACAGTCTTTATATTACGGCAAATTGAGTTGATGTCGTAATCCACATACGCCGTGGCGAAACGGTTCGGTCTGGTGAATCCATTCGGTATGGCAAACCGATTCATTGTGGTGAATCGGTTCAGCGATTTGACGATGTAGATCGTCTGTGTGAGTCAGCTGGCAACACAGAGCAGTTTGATGAAGTGGAACGACGAGTAGACATCTGATGATGCGCCAATAAAATCATCACTGTCCGACATGGGAATCTCCGGACGACCAGCAGTTAATACTTAAAAGCGGGGGTTTGTCGGGTGATCAACTGTTCAAGTGTAACAAGCTCTCTCTGCCAGCCAACGGGAGCAAGCATGTCTACATGCTCTAAAAACGTCCTTGATAAGGGAGCACATTCCCGAAAACGTTTGCTCCAGGAACACAGATATATACAACCCACACATGAGTGGGGATCCGAGGAAGTAAATATTGTTACAGTGTGCGCGAAATTACGCTACGTAGGGTCAACAGCACGAAGCATGGTGTCTAAATCCGGCGCTGGAGAGGAATCAAGTGCAGGATTCCAAGACTCAGCAATAACCTGTGACCGAGGCAAAGTAGAAGTGGCATGGCGTGAAGGTGAACGCCGATCCACTGAACCATAACGCAGCCTAGCAGGTGAAACCACCCGCACAGAACGATGTTGATGAGGGGAACTATCACGTAAAGGCGCTGACCGCAAGTGCTCACTAGCTCTAGACTGACTAGACGGGATATCCTGATTCACCTGAGGTGAATGAGACCGACTACGAGAATCACTCTGACGAAAAGACACCGTACGGCTAGGTGAACCGGATCGAAATGGCGAACCACTGCGACTAGGTGAGACTGAACGACTACGTGAATTAAAACGCTGTGGTGAATTGATTCGACTATGAGATGGTGAGTCGAACTGAAACATATGTTGAGGTGAATTGCGTCGGGAATGTGAACTGGTTCGTCCTGGTGAATCCATTCGATCACGTGAATCAGTTCGGTCTGGTGAGCCGGCTCGGCTGAGTGAACTCGTTCGACCCTTGGCAATGACATGGCTAGGTGAATGGTTCCGTTCTAGTGAACCAACACTGGCATTAGACCCAATTCTGATTGGTGAAATGAATCGAGGTGGTGAATCGGTTCGGACTGGTACATTGGAAGGACGATGAGAGCTCGAGCGTGAACGAGATCTAGAACGACACTCCCCAGCAGTAGAAGAACGAATTCAAACCTCCGAACCAGATTGTGACTCAACTCGTGTAGGTGAATTGTTTCGGTGGGATGAAACCGTACGAAGAGGAGAACGGTTACGTTCCAACAGCGCCGATCCACGCTTCAATGATGAATGCTTGGATCTAGAAGTTTTCGAGGACTTTGAACGGTCCGAAGAAACGGATCTACGAGATGAAGTAGATCGCAGGTCTTGTGTAGAGGATTATATCAGTCATTACCATGCATGCCCATGAGAACTTGAGCTAGGTGAGGGAAGCGTCCCAAAAAGCCTTTTAACATTCTTTTTTGGCGGGAGATGGACCAGATACCACAGAAGCATTCCTGCACGTTTGTAAGCTGTAAAATCCTCCTTAGACAGTCCTGAACACTTAGGACAACGTTTGTCCCAATCACAACAACCCACACAATCAACACACAATGTGTGTGGGTCCCAAGCTGAAAAGACTTTATTACACTGAGCGCAAAACTTTCTTTTTCTGGCATAAACAGGCTTATCCATGTTGAGCAATTCTCAGACAAAAAAAATTTCACGTCCACTCTGTCGAGCGACAAGAAAGAAAATAAGTATGTAAGGTGATCACGTGGGTGAGGACTTCGCATGCCACATGCTGTCACGGACTAGTGAGCATGGCTAAGGCAGGAAGGCATGCACAGCACGGGGACAGGGACAAGGTAGGCCTGGAGCAAAGTTTAATTCGTTTCCACTCATGGTCGAATGAAGAGAGAGAGGTGCAAGTCGTGAGATAGGATAAGTTTAAAAATATGACATCTATGTAGGAAAGAAACTCACCAGAAAAAATGTCAAAGTCAAATGTTTTCAAACCTCTATGACCACAATTACTTTTGATCTTTTTGTGTCATGAGACTTGGCTTCTGATTCTGACTGAGCAAGTACACCGTGTTTTGGAAATAAGTGATCTTTCAAATGTATTCAAAACACTACAATTACTTTTCCATCATAAACACTACAATTACTTTTCCATCATGAATTTTACTAAGAGCAATAAAGGCAGCTTCAAAATAGCGTTTAAAAGACAAGCATGCTAATCTTAAGAACAAAATCTGGTGGAAATGTACAAAGAAATCCAGTATGCCATGAATTTAATTATTGGTTATTGTGACTTTTTTCCTGTGACTTTTTCCCCTGTGACTTTCTTAGTAGTCCATCTTCCTTCTAGGGCAACATCTCTATGATGTTCAGGCAATGCAGGAGTGGCCTTCCTTCTGTGTCTACACAAGAATGACTTCACACTGGACAGAGGTTTCCAAATTTTAAAGCAAACAACCTGTACTATAAGTATACAAAGTTTTAATCAGAGTAGAGGGACTGTGTTATTATTATTATAGCCTACCTCCAAATATCAAAACAAACAATGAATGATCACAAGATACCTGAATAACTTAGCGTCTAATGATTCAAATAAGTGTATTTCCCTAGAGTCTCCTTAGGTTCATTTCAAAGAGTAGACAAACTAAACTGAAAGTAATCAGCTATACAGGTACAGAACATTATTCAGTGTAGGGGTGTCTATTAATGTTTATGTTCATGAGTAGACGAAATGGGAGTAGTCATTATGGGAAGATACCCCTTAGAGCCCCCCCCCCCCAAGTTAGAGCCTAACAGGCAGCTTGGAGGGTGTTTAGGTCCTTTGTGCACCTATTTATTAGATTTTTTATGTGCGTATTTAGGCAGTCAGCTGATAAAGCCAGTGCATTAACAAGGGAAAAGAGGGTGAAAGCCAGAGATGTACAAATCAAAGGAGTACATGTTTATACAGTCAACTGGGCTTGGTGGAGGAGTGTATGAGATGGAATGAAATACCCTTGATCTCTGTCGATGTTGGGCTTTTGGCATTTGATGTGAATGGCTTCGGCAAGTTTTTGTTTAGTGAAATCAGTTTGATTGTCCACAAGAATGGTGATACCTGTCCAGTAACATATTTGGTGATTGGGGTATGATTTGATAAGAAATGGATGATTTTCTTTTGGAATTGGTAATGAAAGACAATGTTCTTTCACTTGGTTGTTGCCATCCATCAACACATGAATGAAAGAACATCAATCTAAAATTGGTTTCTGGTGGCACAAAAAAAAAAAAAGGTAACAAATTACATGTTGTTATTCACTGGTATTTGATTATCAGTGGGAGCATCATATTTCAGTGTATTTCCATAAAGGATACACTACCTTCCTCTGTTGAGTAAGTCAAACATCTGACAAAGTTCTTCCTTTTCTTGGCTTGACAAGTTGAAGTAGAGCCTGTCCATGAGCACCTGCAAATCATGAACATAATGAATTGATGACACTATGCAAGTTTGTATGGGATATATGTAATGTATTGAACTATTTGACAAATCACTTTTGAAGATGTCACACTCATGATTGCAAAAACAAGCTATAGTGACATAACAGTCAAACTGCAACAATATGACACTCAAAGTATGATATTTATGATAAATGAATACATTTTCTGACAACTAAAGTTAATTTCAAGGCATCAGTAGTATTAATCTCACTGTAGATGCACTCTGGTAAAAAGAAGTGAGTTAATGCACAAAGGATTTCATAAGGTTTGTAAACAATATTGAATAAAAAGAACAAAATCAATGTAAAACAACAAATATTCATGAACATTGATCACTGTTTAACACAGGCAGTCAAATAACATGATTCAATTTCAGATTTGTTGACCGGAGAGTGCCCGGGTTCTCCACCGGGAGCACAGCGCTTCTGACTCTCTGGGTAATGCAGAAGGCTGCAGTGTTCTGGAGTCTACATATTCTCCGGAAAGTCCTTGGTGGGTTTGACAAGGCAGCGTTTCCTGGGAGAAGTCCCATTCACTGTCTGGGCTGCTTGTAGAGGGGGCAAGGGCCCTGAGCTGATGATGAGCCTCACTAGCCTGACTGTGCCAGGATCACCCGAACCATCTCTGCTGCATACTATCTTTAATCTGTAAAACATAACAGTCCATTTATAAGGCGCTTTCCATGCTCAATGCATGCTCAAGGTGCACACAAGAAGGAACACAGGATATTGGTGGGAACCATTTGGAATAGGTGAGTCCATAGAAGTAGGTCTTGAGACAAGAGCGAAATGAAGAATAGTCTAATTTCAATGGGTAGGCTATTCCAGGCAGTAGCAGCAGAATAAGAAAATGTTCAATGGCCAAATCATTTGGTCCAGACACGAGGGACAACAAGGAGTCGTTTGTTCTCTGATCTGAGAGATTTAGTAGGCTGGTAGATATTGAGGAGGCCGGACAGATAGTCTGGAGCCATTCCTGAAAGACACTTAAAAGCAAGACAACATAGTTTATAAGCTATTCTGTGCTCAATTGGGAGCCAGTGCAGTGATTGCAAAACTGGTGTTGTTGGAAGACTGACTGACTGACTGATTTAGTTTGGTTTTACGCCCCTTTTAGCAATATTCTAGCAACATCACGGCAGGGGACACCAGAAATGGGCTTCACACATTGTACCCATGTGGGGATTCGAACCCGGGTCTTCGGCGTGACGAGCCAACGCTTTGACCACTCGGCTACACCACCGCCCGTTGTTGGAAGAGAGCAAACCGGTCGAGGGATTGACATTTGCGTCGACGGACCACCACTACCAGAGGTTGGCAATGGCAGTTGACTCGAACATCGATATCGATCGGGTCATCAAGCCTCTGGTGGGCGAGAAGCTGTGTCAGGAGCTTATTGATTTACGAAGCCTTAAGTACCAGCTCACACTGAACATGTCGCTAGATAAGCAGCAGAGAGACGGTAGCGTCAAATTCACTGAGCCTTATTTCTGAAGCAAACAGGAAGTCGTGCTACAACCCGACTCCAATTTGACCATCGACATGTCACTGCAAAAAATACAGGAATCGTTGGAACGATACATGAACATAGGATCCGGGTGGACGGTGAGCAGTATAAAACCCGTTTATTTGGACATAGCAAACTACGTACCACTCAAAGGCGGCTCGTACCTGGACTTGCCCCCGTACTTCAAGAAAAAACAGGCCATGACCAACGTAAAAAAACAAGGATGACAATTGTTTGAGGCAGTCGTTGAGATCTCTCTTATCTCCAGCAACCGCTAATTTGGATAGACCTTCGAGCTATCCCACAGACAACAAGCTCAACTGGGACGGCATAGACAAACCCACGCCCATCTCGCAGATCGCCAAAGTCGAAAAACAAAACGACATAGCCATCAACGTGTTCAGTCACGAAGGCAATAAAATCATTGTTCATAGAATAAGTGACATGCCAAAAACCGAGCGCTGCAGACTCAACGTGTTCCTCATCGAAGTATCACTACGTCAGGATTAAGAGTTTTAGCAGGCTGTTGTACAACCAGTCAAAACACAGTGGAAAGAAACACTTTTGGGAGCGGTGCTTGCACGGATACACAAGCGACGACCTGTTGGAAGGGCATCGGGAGGACTGCTCAGGCGTGGGGCAGACGGCAATCAGGATCGACATGCCCAGGGAAGATGACAATATCTTAAAATTCGTCAACCACAACAAACAAATGCTGGTGCCCTACGTCATCTACGCCGACTTAGACGCCCTCATCAAAACGTCGAACACGCTGAAGCAAACACACCGACCACCACTGACCAGAGTTTCACTGCAAAACGCAAGAACACGAGGCCTGTGGGTTCGGGTATGTGGTAGTCTGATACGAATTAAAGTCAAATCCTCCAGTGATCTACCGAGGTCCAGACACAGCAGAAAAGTTTCTCACCTGAATGCAACACGAGCTAAAAATCCTCAGGAAAAATCTGTATAAAATCATCCCCATGTGCATGTCACAGGATGACAACCTGAAACTGAATATCAATCCATAAAATCCTACCCATCCCTGTGGTGCCGCATAGTGCATGTGTGCATGCCCTCCTGGAACTGTGGTCAACAGTAATATTACCAGACAGTATTATCGGGACGAGATTCAAATGTTGCTGTTTTTTACCTACCGCTCATAATAATCCTATTTCCATTGCAAATCAACATGAGATGCATCCATCGGCAGTAAATCTAGACAATTCTTTTCACATGGGCAAACAAGCAGAGTTCTTGACACATCTATTGAAATCAGTCATTGCTAATGCTTAGGGATATTCTTTGCCTGGATCATTGCAGTTGACAAAGTTGTGATTGGCTCCTCTCACTTGTTTTGCATGCTTACACAGGTCTCCATGTCTACCTTGTGGTTTTTTATTTTTATTTTTTGTTGTATTTTTTGTTTTACCATTACCAACTTTGTGAAAGATGTACTTATAGAAGTCTGTGTACGCTTGCCGATCATGATCAAACACAGGAGAAATTAAAAAAGGTGAGACAATTTTGACAGTGTACTTCCAATAACGCCCACAGTTTTACTTTTTGAAGTAATTATGAATAAGAAAGACAATTTGATAACTTCCACAGCACTAACTGGTTATGCAGCTGTTAACTGAAGGTAAGTCTTACCCTGAACTGCCCAGGTTATTGAGACAGATAAGGATTGATTGTGTAAGGCACAGAATTCTTTTTTATGTTGTTTTGTTCCGTATTTTCAAAAAACAAACACACACCAAAAGTCAACAGGCAAAAAGTGAGTGAGTGAGTGAGTATGGTTTTACGCTGTTTTTAGCAATATTCCAGCAATAACACTGCTGGGGACACCAGAAATGGGCTTCACACATTGTGCCCATGTGAGGATTCGAACCCGGGTCTTCGGCGTGACGGGCAGACGCTTTAACCACCAGGCTACCCCACTGCCCAAACAGGCAAAAAAACAAGTAAGATCCCAATAGATGGGATTTAACTGTTAAACAGGCAACTTAAGCAAAAGGGACGGGAAAAATAAACCATGTTTTCAGATGTGCAGAGGGGTACTTTTGTGCAGATTTCCAGAGTATAAGTGTTCCTTATTTCTGTGTGTATCTCTGCAGTAACAATGAGTTAGGTAAATCCTGTCAACTGTTCCCTTTTGTAATTATTTTCAATGACATTGTGTTCTTGTATTTATCATTAAAACACACTTCATTTTCACATGTCTCTCTCTCTAATGCACACAAACTTAAGTGCAAGGATCTATGAGATATCTGTCCTAAATATTCATTAAAGGCAAATTCTGGATTTGTATGAGATGACCATGGTCAACCATGGATTTGTATGAGATGACCATGGTCTATCATGGATTCGTATGAGATGACCATGGTCTACCATGGATTTGTATGGGATGACCATGGTCTACCATGGATTTGTATGAGATGACCATGGTCTACCATTACTTTGTATGAGATGACCATGGTCAACCATGGATTTGTATGAGATGACCATGGTCTACCATGGATTTGTATGAGATGACCATGGTCAACCATGGATTTGTATGAGATGACCATGGTTTACCATGGATTTGTATGAGATGACCATGGTCAACCATTGCTTTGTATGAGATGACCATGGTCTACCATGAATTTGTATGAGATGACCATGGTCTACGTCAATGACCATGGTAAAATCATAATTTACCATGGTCTGTCTTAATTGGTAAACCATGGGAAGAAATGTAGGTGACTATGTTTTAGCACAGAATACAACGGTTTCCTTGGTAAACTGTGACTGACCATGGTCAAACATGGTGTCATTTCAGCTGGGATTCCTCAACCTAAGAGCATGATTCAGTCACTATTGATGGGTTAATAGCATGCCCTGAAATGGTCATTGGCATAACTGTGTTCATGCTTATTCAGTGACTGACTAATGTTGCTACCGGGTAATTATCATGTCAATATTAGCATCCAGTTGTGCTGATGGAGAATGCCCAGGTGATGGTCATCTTGGGGGTGGTCACTCTCTGTCTTCCAGTTCTGGGGCTGTCAGATGTCTGCCAGTTTACTTGATGCATCTAATTAGTCTGATGATGGTTTGCCTGTACAGCAGAATGTTCTGGCAATGGCTCATTCCCACTCTATTGTTAAAAATCTTAGCAATTTGATGTGCGTCTTAAACAGTTATACCACTAACAATCTCAGTTGCCTGTGTTTTATACTGTTGGTACACTACTGCCTAAAATTTCATTCCCCTTACATATGTGGGCAACCCATGACACAACCTGTGTGAGTCCCATTGGTCATGACTATGTGAGCATAATCCATGTCGGGAGTAGAAAGATTTCTTTGCAAAACATTGTTACAATAGAGTATTTACCTTCTTCGTTTTTTATAGAACTTTATATAAGTGGCATTTGTATTTCAGATGTATTTAATTAGAAAAACATTAGAGCACAATAATTATCAGTAAGCTTAATCTAGCTTAGACCAGCTATTGGAAAAGATGGCAATTATAAAACTCCCATGTCAGGACTCATCTCCGGGGTTTTATTCTCCAGTCTTCCTTGTTCCAAATAAAGACACTACAAAGATACGAATGGTCATCGACCTCATCGACTAAAGTTCATGATGGAATCACTGGCCAACATTTGGAAACTGATTCAACCGGGCGCTCATTTCACGAGTCGCGATCTCAAAGATGCTTATTTCCACATTCCTATTCATCCTCGGTCTCGGCAGTACCTCAGATTCACAGTCAACAGACATTGTTTTCAATTCCAAATTCGGCCGTTAGGGGTCTTGATAGCTGCATGGTTATTCACCGTTGTGATCAACCCTATGCATAATTTGATAACCTGTTCTCTGTGTGTGCACAGTTTCGTGAATGAATGCCCACCTACCGCCAAGCTGTTGACGCAGTGTCTGGTGTCTTCCCTTATTGATTGCTGTAATGCCCTGTATGTAAATCTTCCAAACAGAGCCATCTTCAAGTTACAGCGGATTCAGCATTCGGCGGCTAGGTGTGTCTCTAAGATCCTTAAATCAGACCATATAACACCAGTTTTCAAAGCCTTGCACTGGCTCCTTGTCTCCACTCGTATTGTCTACAAATTTGCTGCATGACTCATGACTGTCTAATGACAGGTATCCATCATATCTAAAAGACTTGATCTCCCATTACTCTCCAGAATGCTCACTCCCATCGTCCAATGATCACCAACTCATTCATCTTCTATCCACCTCTGTGATCTCTGATCATGCCTATTCAGTTTGCTGTCAGAAGTCTGTTCTGGAACTCTCTACCTTCACAGAATTAACGGCCACTCAAAACCTACCTCTTTCGCCTTTCACTAGACTCAATGGATTTTGTCTGTACATATTACGTTCCTAGACTTTTTTCTGATTTTGTCAAAGCGTCAGTGAGCACCTATTGATGGATACTAGGTGCTCTATAAATCCATTATTATATTCTGCAGATTAAAGATAGTATGTAGCAGAGAGGGTTTGGGTGATCCTGGCATAGTCATGTTCGTGGTCGTACCATGGATGGACCTCAGAGTCAAAGCCACAGGCATGGCAAAGACGATAGTAGAAGCAACGAGCCATGCCATCATGTCTTTTAAGATATGCTGTTTGTGCCAAGGAAGGGCATCCACTGACAAGGTGTTGGACAGTCTCTGTAAATTCATTACACAGTCGGCATTTCATGTTAATAGTTACTTTAAGAATCACATTTTGGCGATTGCGAGTGGGAAGTGACTGGTCCTTGGCAGCAAAATGGAAGCCTTCAGTTTCACATTTGAGACCAGCTGACTTCATACAGATGAAGGAGTCAGTTGGATTGCTATTCTGTTCCACACATTGCATATACACACTATGCAATGGCTTCTCAGAAAGCTTCTCCACAAATGACTGACTCTGGTCAGACTTGGTGAATGACTTCACCTGGTTTACTCCAATTGCTGTACCATCAAGCAGTACATTGCCATCAACAAAATCAACCTCAAATTTCAGATTCTGTCCAACAACCTTGGCACAGTCAGCTGGGGAATTCCTTGCTTTCATTGTGAGTCTTGACATGCATCACCAGAGTATCATCAGATAAATAAATATGTGCAAAAGTACACAATAAAATTCTATCATGAAGAGCCTCCACATAAACTAGCCCAGAAACGTTGTGTAAAACAATGAAGAAGTTGTTATTCATAAGATTTGTCTCATATTGCTTTTCTTTATTTCTAAAGAGTTTATTTTGTTTCATAAATTTGTTCTATTTTTCCCATTTTTTCTTCCATTCACCTTTCAGTCCAAACCTTTAATTTTGCCTTAATGCAATCAACAGTTTGGAGAAGTACCTTTTCTTTTGTTGTCTTATATTGTAATTTTAAGTTTCTCCAAACTGACTTTTGCCTCTTCGACCTTGAGTTCCCTGATGACCTTATTTTAAGGCACAGCTCTATTTAGGAAATGTTTCTTCTAGATTTTTTCTTTGTTCTTTTGTCCTAATCACCAGATGTTTTTTCGTTTGAAACTGAGTGATATTTTCTCTAAAGTTTGAGCAGCAGCATAGATACAGCAATTTACTTCATGTAACAAACAGTCCGCAGAAATTTTCAGAGAAATAACTTAATTAAGTATATCAATTTCAGTTGGGGGAAAAGACACATTAAGTTGTTTAACTGGCCTCCATTTCTCTAAAGGTAAATAACAAATTTCCTCATAAATAGAATTGAACAAAATGTACACAGGATTTTCGGAAAGATCTGCAACTGAGGAAGAAGAAGAGTTAGGGTCAGAAATTTCAGGGTCAATTGGCTCTATGCCTGAGGAGTTTGCATCAGAAAAAGGAAAGCGGTTGACGGGTACCTCCATTCGTAGCTTTGGGTCTGCTGCTACTTGAGTATTCTGCTAATGCAAAGGGTACCTGACGGGATCCAGTTGTGGGTTCAACTGGCTCATGGCGCATTGGAATTATAAGTCGCTGGAGTTGGCCTTGGATATTGTGCTCTGTCAGGTAAGCATACATTGCCATGTCATTTTCCCAATGCAACTTAAGCAACTTGACATTGATGCGTTGATTTTCAGGCCATCCAGTCGCTTTCACACATTCAAGTAGTGTGGTTATCCAAGATATCCTTGGTCAGGTTCTGTGCCTTCCCCTGGGGCAAGTCCCATCCCCAGTATGGTTGGTGTCACTACTGGAAGAAGGCTGACCTGGCTGCGGAGTTTGAAGATGGTTTGCTCCTGGACTAATGCTTTGTCTCTTAATATTTATAATTTTGACAGTAACAAACAAGCCCATTTAAATTGAAGAGGAGCCCCAGGGAGACCAGAGATTCAGAACCTGAGGAAATCTAGACTTGCTTTATTTAGGGCTTTAGCACTGCAGAGGGAGCTTGGCAGTAGGGAAAATAATGTGGTTCAGGGACTGTGAGACAGACTAGTTTTCTCCTTGTCTGTCTGCAACCCAGTAATTACCCAGCTTCAGCCTTAACTGGGTGATGTAACTTAGTTCAGGGAATACAATTCCAATATCTAGGCCCACCAGGGAGAGGCGTACATCATCTATTATAAGATTCACAACTATTCTATTTTCAATGCATCACATTGGCTGTGCTGGACAATACTAATTAAGGCAGGTCAACCTTGTGTTCATGGTCTGGTTCATGGATGCATCATTAACTCAAGATTTACATCTCTTTGTATTGTTTTTCATCACATCATTTATTTGAGCTATTCATCTAATTCAACTGAAATATGGTTCCATGTTACAGGAATGGTATATGGGGGAGTCACTTGTTGCACCTGCATGTGTCACGTGATGCACACATGCTACACACATGCTGCACATGCACTGCACACCCGTGTGACACAGGTGCTAAACACAATGCGGATTGGTTGAATACACATACAACATTGGATCACGTGTAAGGGGAATGAACTTTTAGGCAGTAGTGTACATATAATGCACATGCAAAATAACAAAAACAATGATTTTCATGCTGTACAATGCACAATACTGTAAAGGATATCTGTGGTGTTTTGGAAAGACGTACATAGTGTTTGTCATTGTAAGTCACATTCAAAACACTTTTTAAAATATGTAGGTTGTTCCAGGTATTTTTAAAACAATTCCCCCAAAACTGACTTGTATTTTCTTTTGTACACCTGTTTATTTTCGATACAATATGGTATTTTTCTCAAAACTCTTCCGAATTGCTGGTATATTTACTGGAGTCTCAACTGACCCCACAGATGTTAATTTTGGTTAATCCTGAGAAGACAGAAAAGTGTTGTCAAGGTGCAAAACATGATGGCTAAGTTTTGAAGCCTTGGTCAGTGCCAAGTTGTATGTGTACAGGAACAGCCTCTAGTCTTTTCCAAAACATGAAACAGTTCTTTAAGCAAGTTATTTTCATTTCTCCATGCAGCTGCTGAAGAAAATGAAGAGAGCAATGAAAGCAAACCACCGCTTCACAAACCACAGAGTAATAATGAAAAAAATGAAGTAAAAATATTGAACTTGACTTACCTTCATTTCTGTCCTGGCAATATGAGATAGTCCCATGCGATCTCGAGTATGAAAATAGGTCATCAGATAATCCCGCTGGCTCTGTACCTAAAACAAATATCTACATGCACAAGACAGACAAACATGCCATTAAACATTTTTAGAAGAATCTACTGTCAGGGGCCTGATCATATCAAAATTATATGACACCTGTAAGACCGGATATATACAGTATTTTGCAATTGGTCACACACAAACATCCTTTTACAAATGGCAACAAATCTGAATACACAATGCCATTTAGAAAGTGGTCAAATGTAACATGTTATATTTGGGATTACACTTTCTTACTAAAGTACAGATTTTAGTACTTTTTGTTGGGTTGAGTCCCATCCGGGATTCGAACCCACACACCCAGAGGCAGGCACCTAATTGCCAGCACACAAAGTCAGCCGCTTAACCCACTCAGTCACCACGTACGGTTTCCACAAAAATGAAAGTTGGACAACTGGTAGTCTAGACTGCAGACTTTGTGCAGAACTGTATGATGATATTCAAGGTTTACTAAAATACATGTTAATGTTCAGAATCTGATTTTTTATCTAATGTCCATAGCAGAATTTCATAACAATTCTTACCTGCAATTTTACTTTTCCACACAGATAGTGCAGCCTTGTGCGTGTGAATGTAGTAGTTTTTGAGTTCTGGTTCTCATTCTGGTCAGTCCCACATGTAAAACCACCCTTTCCGTTTTTCATTGTTGTATTCATTCGGCCATAACTTTTCTTTGTCACAATTCCTGTTGAAAACATACACAAATGAATATGACTATTTGCACGTAAATACTATTGGTGTGTGTGTGTCCAATGCCATGATGCAGATGGCAGCCCCAACCAAGAACCCTCTGAGAGACTAAGAGGTAGAAAACAACAAAACAGAAGTGGCACAGATGGGGGAACTACAGTCAGGCCACGTTAATCCGAACACTTCCGTTTTTCATCAAAAACGTTTGGATAGTGAGACATACAGACTATTGAAACGAACCATTATGTACACCACTACAGTGGAGTAGTGACTCTCAAGTATGCAGTAAGTAAGTATGACAGGTATTACTCAAACTAACAAAAAGTGAGACCTGTTAATTAAATTAAAATCAGAAATAAACTACAAATTGTTCAACTCAGAGGTGTCTCGTCACGTATCAATTACCATTGAGGTTTACCAATGAAGGGTATGTTCTCATTTCTCCTACATCCCAATTCGCCTACAGTCTTAAAACATGTCATGGTCTGTTGACTGTTGATTACACAATGGTGAACTAGTGGCACCCCTATGATCTAAAAGTGGACTTTTAAAAAGAATTTATTTATTTCTGTTACTTGTCATTTTCTGATCACAGTGAAATTTATTTATCACATCATATCATCACATCATCTTCTAGTTGAAGTAGTTGAAGGACAAAAAGAAAGTTTTTTTAAAGAATTTATTTCTGTTATTTGTCTGTTACTTATTTATTCTGTTATTTGTCATTTTCAGATCACAATCGTGACATTGTTCATTCTCACTTCAACTTGATAAGGTGACCAGCTGCGTCGAGGAATTGAAGGGGTGGTGATCCCAGTAGCAAGTTGCTCTATAAGTCTGTCCAAGCGACTCTCCAGGCTTTGGTAAATCCTTGATTTGGGGCGGACAGCTGCTCCATGATCGATCTGTCTGCGTGCCAGTCTGTTCGCTGTTTCCAATTTCTTTATAGCAATGATGAATTCATATATGTTCAGGTGATGCTTTCTGACGAGTTTCTTGAAGCCGTTGTGAAAACCCTCCAAATGATTGTTGGTTCTGGGTCCTGTATTTTCATGCTGGTTCCAGATACGAGGCGGGAATCTTGCATCGTAGTCTACCCATGCAGAGGTCATGTAGTCGTTGAAGGCAGCAATACCCTCAACATCTGGAGACGCAGTCAATGTATCCATCCACGCATCATGGACCTGATCCACTGGGAGGAGGGGAAGAGAAGCAGCACGTCGCACATGGGAGTTGAAAGCTGGATTGTTCCTGTAGTCGTTGACTAGGCCTTTCTCGGAAACTTGTCACCAAACAGCTTGTGTATAATGGAAAAAGCAAAGGTATTTCAAGCATTTTTGTTCAAGCTGTTGAAAGTTTCCTGTTGATTTGAATTGTAAGTTTTCTATGCAATTTACATGAGCATTGTGTAAAACATTTGTATTTGATCTGTGTAATTATCAAATCCGGTGTAATTATCACTGGTATCAATGAACTCAGTCTCTATTGATCCATCGTCAATAAAAGCTGGATAGTATATCAGTTACGGTATCGATACACATGCATATAATCATTCAAGAAGATTACAGTAATGAGATAATTGAACACCTCTTTCGACCTTTAAATAACAGCCTCAGGTAGAATGCATATGTAGTTACGTCCTTGTTGAAAGGTTTGTCCCGTGACAAGTGCAAAATAAACAGATGCGCTGTTATATCATTGGACATCTTGCTTTATGGAGTCATGCCCCTCTCTGTGATGTTTATACATGCATGCACATCTGTTATCTTATGAACCTCGTTTGCATTCAGTAAAGATATAGGCACGCCCACCTTCATAAATATTGGGGTGGGGTGTCAACTGCAAGTTTATACACTATAATAATTCAGTATAGTGTCACTCGTGAATTCTGTAATGCGGTACTTTAGTTTGGATAGTCATTCATATCAAGGTGAAGATTATATTTACATGTACAGGAAACCATTATGTTTTATGTACTAGTTGTGTGCATAAAATGTATAGGAAAATAAATACTACCTCTACTCAGTGGTTGGATTTCAATCGCTTTTGTTTTACTTAACTAAAAATACTAAAATGAGGACAAATAAACTCACCAAAGTGTCTATCTACTCCTATTTGTCTTATGTGTATATTTCATACATCGCTACCAGTGTGTATGTTAACAATACACAAACTGTTACATGATAAGCTTGAATTGACAAAGCCGAAACCCAGCATATTGACAGGTCAACGATATAGCCAATAACCAATCTCTATCCAAACTGTTGAGTGACCAACGCGTGCTCTTCAGAAATTTCCCACGCTTCCATCACCTGTCCTTTCCTCTGTGACAGGTATCTCATGATACGATTGGTCGAGATAACATATGACCAGCCACTACATTGAACAGTTGAGATACCGAACGTTCTCTTTCGAAATTTGATGACGCTTCTATCACGTGACTCTTTTGTTTTATGTCTATGCAAGGAATATGTAGTATACATTTTGTATATGTATGTTTGTATGGTCAATGTATGTTTTCTGCATTAAATCTGTATGAAATAAAGTGCAATGCTATGAATGTGCTTTGTGCTAGTCACAGACTAGCGTTATAGTACTTTCATTAAAATAATTCAGAACACTAGAAATGTATCGGCAAAACCGCTATTTTCGTCGAGAAGATTATAAAGTATGAAAGTAAATTCTTCTTTACAGTATGTCATTGTCATAGATGTTTTGTAAATTTAAACCTCACACAATGATATAAGAGAGAGAATTTGTTAACGCAGGTCTCATCTGTTACATACAAAGAATACATGTGTATGCATATTGTGATAAAATATAAAATGTACAAGCTAACAAAAGGTCTACAAGAGAAACTTGCAATAAAATTACATAAAGCTTGCAATACCGACATGTATTCACACCTGATTTCTTTCAACATATATCTTTACGACACAATTAAACAATCAGGACTTGTTTGTACGACTAGACAGATTCCTGTCATCCCCGAAACCTGCCAGGGAAATCAGGTGTGACTAGCAGTAATTAGTCTCGGCACAGAGAGTGGGCAATCAGCGAGGGCTTCCAGGTGTTGAGTAGTGATGGGGCTCTCGGGCTTAATGAGTTAAAGGGTTCAGTTTTAAAGCCTATTAGTAGCAGAGAACTGAGTAATTTACAGTGAGAAATTAACTACATGTCATCATTGCTTTTACAATTTAGCTTGTTCATTATATTATAACCTTGTTTGAACTTCTAAATTAATCCTCTTTACTCAACTACAAAACAACTTAGTATTTCACAGTGAGAAATTAACTACATCTCATCATTGCATGCATTAATCCCTGTCATTTTATTTTAACCGTGTTTTAACTTCTCAGTGGATGCACTAATCCTCTTTACTCAACTACATATCCTTATAACAACAGTCGATCAAGACTCAGTGAGTCAGGTTAATAATAGGAGTAGGGGTGCATTCTCTAATACCAATTCGCCTACATTGTTTTTGTAGGCGAATTGAGACTAAACCCAATGAAGCGCTTATCAATGGTGCTCACGAGGTAAGGGGACTATCTAAACCTTTTTCATGTAGCTCCACATTAATGAAGCAAAACCAAGCTAATTAATGTCCGGATCTGGAGAGTGAAGCACCGGATTAATGAATCGACACTTAACGAGTTTACATAGTAAGCAAGATTGGTTACAGGTAGCTACCATTCAGATATCGTGGGAATCAGATTGTTGAGGTCCAGACTAACGCGGGCTGACTGTATTGTAGAGAGGTAAAGATATATGAAAGTTTGAGAGACCCTTCTTTGAGGCACATTATATCCCACTTGAAATACTACTGCTTTCAAGGATCAACCAGTACTATTGATTAAAAGTATTGTATTTCATGTGTATTACTTCAAGACTTTAAAGTTATTGAATACAAATTAATCATGACATAGAAACAAAAACACTGGATCTTGGATGGCTTTCTTAATCATATTTGTATAGCCTATTCATTTATAAACAGGTAGAGCTAGTGCTATCCTCATTTGAGAGAAGACACAAGAGTGAAGTAATCATCGTCTGTTTTATGACTAGGGAATGTTCAGTTTTTAAGGTTTTAACCATTATGAGAATAGGTGTCAACAGAAAATCATTTCTTTTCTGTGGTCACCTTAAGGTACAATGGAATAAGAAGAATTCATTCCAACAAAAACTACTATTGTCACAAATGCTACCCAGGAAGTGACCAGTGATGAAGAATAAAGTTCGTGTAATTGTGTGTCTCTCTGTGAAGTGAGACAGCTCATAAAAATCAAGGTCTGTCAAAGGGTAGCTTCTATGAATATAATACAGCAATCCTTCGCAATAATGTCCTTTGCGAAACTGTGGTTTCGGTAACAGTCCGTTTGACTCAAATGCGGACCGATGAATTGCAATCTAACTCAAAAACTAATAAACATAACATACTTAATGAAACGCTGATCATAATCAAAACATCATACCAACTCTGTGAGGTTTTTGCAGAATTTTTGTCCTGAATATAATAAAGCTGTTTAACAAACTATCATTAAAATATTGACACAGTTCACTATTTGTTACGAGGGAGGAGTGCATAGAAAAGGACAGCCAGGTGTTCGAGAAGCATGTTCACAGACAAAGTTATTTATTCATTAACCTGTGCTGTGCCATCTCCATCCGTTCTAACACCTGGCTGTCCCTTTCTCTGCACTCCTCCCTCGTAACAAACAGTGAACTGTGTCAATATTTTAATGATAGCTTGTTAAACAACTTTATTATTTTTAGGACAAAAATAATAAATGATTGCACACATTCCACAAATATCAAGCACGAGCTAGTACATAAACGCACTTCCCACCAAGTAGAAAATTATATACTTCGAATACAATGAAATTAATTATCATGCCGCAACTGCCTTGTCAACATCATATTTTGTATTTTTACTTGCATCCAAATGGGGATTGATATATCTCAACATAGACAGGCAGTTGTGCACTTTGAAGG